TTCGGCCAGATGTTTTTTTAATTACCCCCGTTCATACTACCTTCGAATTATATTTCCGGTAATATTCAACGGGTAATAACATAAGCATGAACGGGCCCTAATTTAGTCATTTGGCTGCAGGCGCAACTGTAATGATAAAGACATGTACTTTGCTACTAGACTAATTCCAAATCACTCCATCAGACATGTGTTATACTGTACTGGCGACAATAAACCACGCGTAATCACGCGTAATATACTATAATTTGCAAATTGAGGGATTAATTTTAAGTATGTATTAAAAGTTTTCTAGATTTAACCATTATCAAGGAGGTGATTGAATCTATTTTTACCCAGATTCTTTTTTGGTTCATGATATGAAGTGGAAGGGGATCGATAATTGAAACTGATAAATTGATGTTCCAGGATAAAAACTCATAATTTTGGAGTTCTTTTGGAGGTTTGATTTAACAACCAGAACCATGGTCCCGGGGTCTATGAGGAGGATCATAAACCACTGGTTGAAGAAACGTTCCGTAATAAGGTCATGTATACACAATTGATTTCCTTATTTAAAGAAAAAACGCGTTTATATGTCTTAGTATAGGCATAGGCCTATACACATTTTGAAATACAGACCTAAATACGCTTCATTTTTTAATCTAGTCCGACAATTCTATTCATGGTATCTAAATGGCATAAGCAAACGTAATTGACATTAGGTAATAATTTTTATTTCAGTTTTTTTTTTCACTTTTGGTCATTGTTTCATATTTAAATAAAAATATCAAAAAAATGTGTATGTGTCTCTTTAGCTGGTATGAGGTGGGGGGCGATGGGGTTGGTAAACGTACCCTTGTCACTATTCATTACTGTATTTTTTTGACTGTAAGTCTGAAATAATGATCTGTATGAAAATTGAAACATCTTGAAGGATGCGCCTACTCTGATAACAAGCATAGGTGCGCTAGTAGTCTAGACAGGGAGTAGTGAATTACAATTACTTCTTGCTGGTCTAGACAACGTCCACTAACAATAAACCTCCTCCTTGTATGTGTTATTATATCTTTAAAACGTTATAAAGAAAAAAAATGAAAAGAACGGAAAAATTCGAAAGGTATAGAAAGAAAAGGAAATGGTAAACAAAGAGAAAGGAAAAGAAAATGAAAAGAAATAGAAAGACAAAACAAGGAAAATGAAAAAAAAAGAGAAAAGGTAAATAAAGAAATTAATAAGAAGTAAAGGAAAAGATAGACAGGAATGAATGTAAAGAGAGAAAACGGAAGAAAAGACATGAAAAAAAAGTAAAAGAAAGGTAAGTAAGATAAAAAAGAAAAAGAGAATACCGGTAAATATTTAAAAATTAATTAAGTAGTTGAAAAGAAAATTAAAATTACTGTATTTTTCAAATTATTCATAACTTAAATCATATTGCAAAACAACTGATGCGATATAAAAGCATAAGCCTGTGGGAATGCATGATGATTAGAATTAGGCCTACGCTAAAAAATAAATGCTAGAAAAACTTTTAAAACAAATAAAAGAATGAAAAAAACATATTGACTTCCATTGTAACACAGATGAAACAATTTCAGCCATTTTCATTCATTTCCAGACATATTAGGCCTACATACAAAAAATTCTTAAACTGATTATCAATCTATGCAAACTTATTATAAAAACTATATTTAATGCTATCAACTAACCTAAGCAAACTTCTAATATTTCACTGTTGATTATAATTTTTAGTAGTCTATATCACACAAATTTTAGGCCTAAAAATCAAATTCATATTTCATAAAATCTGAGCAACAGAGTAATCGCTGGTAGATTTTCTAATGTAGTTTACCGATTTTATTTGCATGATTTTTGATAAATTTGAATGTAAGCCTATACCAATAAGCAGACTGGTGACCCACTTATCAGAAGTGGGACAGATGGTCATTAAACGACGATAGATCGTCTTTCAGGGCTTGGTTCTGCCTCAGGATGTAAAAGAATAATAATATAATGTCGTCTTCTTGACGTACCGGTAAGAAGAACTTCCTTTATTGCCATATTCATGTCACTTTTAATATTCACATACTGGTACAGGTCAACAGCACTTTCAATTGGTCGGTAGGCAAGCCTAGTGTTTATATGGCATGTGTACATTTGTAGTAGGCCTATATACACTAATGCTTCTCCCTGCAAAGGCGAATATCCCTTTATCTTGAATTTTAAGAATGCTTGATATGACGTCTTAGATAATGTGCCTTACCCCAAGTTAAATATAGCAGAAAGTTTCCTAATATTATCAATTATATTGCGGTATAAAAACCGTTGATTTCATCTTCGAAGAAAGAACTTGTGAACCCCAATACGTTACAATATCTTAAGAATGTTGTAGGCCTATTAGGATATCGGTGTTTTTTTTTTGTGCAATACCGGTATGAGATTCGTGAAGACGTGGCGCTGCGCCTACCAAATTGTAATATATCACATTTGGTATATCGAGTGTTGGCAGTGACTATTTCCAATAACCCTTGCTAATGTGTGTTAAATGTGACATGATGTATTTCTGGGCTAAATATGTATCTTTGATGTTAGGCCTAAATGCAGCGCATAGAGGTATTTTATTATGTCCTTACTGGTAGTTTTAGGCCTAAGAGTAGGCCTACACGTACTGTTAAACAAGGGCCACTTCAAGTTTAAAAATTAAAAGTAAAAACTGTGTTACCATTTAAATGTTTCACAATGATTTCAGTGGTTTAAGTGCGAAATGAATGTTATATTAGGTAGCTAGTAGACGGAGGCATAGCGGAAAATTAACTTGGCCCTTGTTGCACTGGTACAGATAACACACTCTCTGTTAGAAGAACTGACCTATGGGACTACTTGTGGCTTTGTTATACAT